AATTTAAGTGTTCAGAATGAATTCTTTTGTGAACATGCAATACGCACAGTTAAATTTGGAAAGTTACATGATCACTTTCAGTGGCTGACAATGTATAATAGCATTTATGAGAACACTGAGTCAATGAGGCAGAAATAATTGTAGCCTCTGTCTTTGTGGTTTCATGTCAAGCAGTCCATTAATAATATGAACTCTCCAAAGTTTATTTTCCTCTCTAATTATTTTTGCCGGGAGCTCCTTTCACATTGTCTGTACTTTAAAAATTGTAACATAAATCTTGAGGTAGGTAAGAAACACAAGACTATAACTTCAAAGTTTGAAGTGACCTTTTAAAATTTGGTTTCAAAATTTATTTTAAATCTGTATTTCTCAGGGTTGTAGGATCTGAGTTTGCATATATCTAAAAAAACTTAGCATTTTATAATATATAAATATTTAATAAATAAAAGTATATTTCAGCTTACACTCAGTAATGATTTCAAATAATCAATAATGTTTTACAACCAATGTTTAATGCTCTCTCAAGTGATATGCCCAATCTGGATGAACTATGGCCTTGTGCTGAGCTCTCTTTGTTTTAGCATCAAATTCATTAAGCAGTTCTTGTAATTTTCCAAAAAAAATGAGCAGAGTGGTAGCAAACTTCCATGCTGCCTCTAGAAGTTTCCACCTAGATGATAATGTGTAACTTCCTGTCACATTTCACAGGACAATCAAGTCACATGACTATGCCTGAGTTCAACACAGTAAAGATACAAAATACTGCATCTAGGAGGATGTCTAGATAGGGATAACAAATATTTTAATAATTATAAATCTGTAAAAGTAAGCTAGGGCTCTCTGGAAAAACATATTTATTCAAAAATTAATGTGCTAAAATTAATTCACTATAACCATATAAGACATCCTGATTCTTCATTCAAAATCTATTAACTTATTTGCTTAGTTTTTAATAATCTGGTTTCTAAGAAAGATGTGAGATCCATAGTAGATAAGTGCAGGAACAAGTTCAAGAAATAAGAACCAACAGCTTTGAGAGTAAATACTCATCTTGGTAGAAGTGAATTGCTTCCAGATATGTATGTAAAAACATACAATGCCCTTCAAGTACTAAGGCTTAAAATGGAAATACTGTCTCTACTGTCCACATTCCACTAGTCAAAGTAAGTCAAAATGACAAGTCCAGCAACAGCAAGCATCTCTTCCTGAAGAAATGGGATGAGGATTAGAACAAATATTTACTAAAATTTATCAATTTGCAACAGTTCTTCAATTTCCCCAAAACCACTTAAATTACCTTTATCCACAAAGTAAAATAAGAAATATATTAAAGTGAGAAGAGTTTTCAGATTGGGTGAATTGAAAATATTTGATGTTTAAAGAAGTAGATATGTTCTACTTTTTAGAAAACTGATGTCTTTTCCCAAATGATGCTGTGTATGTTAGAATGGGGGTTACCTGAATCATTAGGGAAATTGATGACACATTTTATGATTTCACATATTTGTGTGTGTGTGTGTGTATAAAATTTGTACAGTGTCTTTTCTACCCTGCACTAAGTATTTTTAGTTATATTTTCATAGCTCTGTATGTAATAATTTATATGTAATTTATCTTTCCATCTGTTCTTTCTGTGTTTTTGTAGACATTTTTTCTTCACTGTGTTTACTGTCAGTTTCTGGTTTACATATTATAATTACTCTTCCAAATGAATTTCTAATAGTTATTGTTTTTCATATTACTTAATTGTCATTCCTCTAAGCAGAATCAATAGCATTTTGGAGTTATCACTTAATTTTAGAAGTTTAAGAAAGTGGTCCAAACTTTTACAAAGAAGTGGTAGCACCATTGCCAGCTCTGAGCATTGTGGAATCTTAGCTCTTAACAGTACCACTCTTACTGTTACCAGCAAAGTCTTTGATTAATTTGACCAATTTTGAGATAAAAATCAAGGAGAGACAAGCAATAGCAACCAAATGAGATTTTATTGGAGTTTATGCTTGAGCATAAGGGAAATAGTGCCCAGGTCAAGTGTTCCTGACTGGCTTTCCCAATGCACAAGGAGTAAAGATTAAAAAGCCAAAGAAGTGGGTTCATGCAGACTGACAGTCACTTGATGTGTATAATCTCAGGATTTTTGCACACATTTTGTCAGCTATTTGATCTGGCACCAGGGTTTTCACTTGAAGTGGAGATTTGCACACATGCATCAATTCATTCTGAACTAGACTCTTGACTCACAAAAGATGGTCAAGACACTCACTGCTGCAGCTCCAGAAATATTATATCTCAGTCATATCCTGGCAGGAGTTTCAGAACAGCATTGGGGAAGAATCAGGAGCTCCTGGATCTGGTCATTGGTGGAAAACATTTTTTTTCTTTTCTTTTTTCTTTTTTTTTTGAAAGCAGCTTTTATTCGGTGTTATTAGGTTGGAAACCTTGGTAGGAGGGTCAGGGGGCCCTTCCTGCTCTAAATACAAGACAATTTTTCTCTAAAACAGACTTTATTTTGAATGTGAAAAAGCTTTTTCGTGTCCATGAAATGAAATATGAGATAAAGTAATAATGCACCAAATGTCAACTATTATCAGTTAAAATTTAAAAGTGAATTTTGGGGTCAACTAACAAGTACCATTTACCTTTCTATTTACTATTTTATGTTTCAATTTCCTCTGATGAAAAATTAACATTAATAAAGAGAGTTTTGGGGTGGCCAATGCAGAAATACTTATTTTTCCCATTTGTGTAATTAGTTGTGATTTATGAAAATGAATAAATTACTGTGATGCTAATTTGTCCTTTTTAAGATGCTAAAATCTGGCTACAAAATAGAAGTTATTATGAATAAACTCCCTGATGAAGCCACTAGGACATCAATTTAACAATCAAAAGGTCTTATGTGCTCTGTTAATTATCATAGTCTCTTTGTGTTCTGAGTACAACTAAAGGACTGAAAGGGCAGATAAGCACAGTCTTGTGGCTAATTGAGTAGATGTCTGAATCAATTAGTGGTTAATTTTTTCTTAAGTTTTTGTCTAAAAGCGCTGTAGAAAGGGCAGATCTCAAAAACTCATTCAGATCAGAACTTTTCTGACATGAAATTTAAGAAAAAATTTGTTGGAAGTTTTAATACAATCCCATTCAACATGTAGGTTTCTTTCAGGAAAACATAATCTTAGCTTAAAGGAGTACAGCTTTGAGGGGGGAAAAAAAGTCCTATATAGAATTAAAAGGTGGTCATTCAAATTATTATGATATAAAAAATAGCATAGTATTCCATTTAAGAAAGATATTGCTAATCTGATTAATGAATGTGAATTTGTATACTCTTTTCACATGAATTTACATAAATTCATTGTTTACTTTTACAAAAGCTAAAATTTCATTATGTGCTTTGCAGAATACTAACTGTTGGCACACAATTTACAGTCACAGCAGGTCATTGTCCTCAAGATCCTTATAGGTTGAACAAATATAAAATAAGTTACCCTCATAAGGTGCCAAAGGAACACACACTAAATCCTTATTGAGAGGTTGTTGCTCATCAAATGTTTTCAAAATCTGGGAGCCCTTGAAAAAACTGATGGACAAATATTTGTTACTCTAGGAATAGCACAGGTTTTAGGCTACCCTCTTAGAAGAAGTAACATAAAAGTGATGAGTGAATAAATAACTGAGATAAAACAATGGAGTCTATTAAAATAAGTCATGTTTTAAAAAAAATAAGTATTAGATGTCAATCATAAAAATTGCAATTAAATACAAAGTGCAAAACATATAAATGTATATTACATTCTCTATAAACTAGTTTTCTAATATTTCCTAAAATGTTTTAGAGAAGAGTAATGATATAAAATATCAAAAATTTTTATATTTACAGAATTGTTCACATAAATGAGAATTAATATCATTGCCTAAGGCTTAAATCTTACAATTTTCTTATAAATTAACCACATAATTAAATAAATAAAAAATAATTCTCACAATTTGCTGAATCTTTGTAGTCTTATTAAGCCAAAGAATATGATAATTTTTATTTATTTATTCATTATTAGAATAAAATTAATAATATTAATAAGAATTGCCTGGTCAATTATTATATGCTTGACTATGCATTTTTCACTTAACTCTTCCATAATAGAGTTAAGGCTACCTTAATGTAGCACAAATAAGTAAAATACATGCTTGTATAATTATCATATATTTCATCAAGCTTCTATTCATATTCAGAGAAAATATATATATTTTATTAAGTGATCAAATGAAAATAATCAGAGCTGGAGGATGTGAATTCCAATTTGAGAGTTTGATAAGAATAAAGCCAAAAAGTCAAAAACCACTATGATGGCTTCATCCATTTTATGGTAATATCATCTTCAAGAACTTTATAATTTAGATGAGTAAAATTTTCTTTTATTCATTTTTATACTTTAAAGAGGTAGTTTTAGTAAATTAAGACAAAAATTTGGTCAAACCATTATTCAGTTAAAGGATCCAAATACCATACCTTGAATGTATTTTAATGGACCTTTCAAATATTTAGCTGGAGATTTTAGTAACATAAACATGGGGCTTCTAAAGGTGATTTTTCACATGCTAAATCTGACAAACATTTCCTTCTATGCTACATAAATCAATTTCATGTTCTTATACTTCCTTGTGCATTATGTCATATTTTTAATTGCTAATTTCATGAGTTTTGAAGACAGAAACTGGATGTTTAGGACAGAGAAAATTGCAAAATATGTTTTAGAGATAAATCTTTGACTAAACTCATAAAATAACATAATTATTGATATCCATAAATATAATTTTTAAAAGATATGTTATTATTTGTAATGTATCAAGATGGCAAATTAGCAGTAATTAAAAGCTAAACAAACTAAATATGCTTACTTTATAAAAAGATTATTCCCTATTCATATTAAAATATATTTCCTTCTTAAATGTATAGAAAAAAATTAACACTTTTTCTTATGTTTTCTCTTTTCCTTTTTCAGGTGACACAAAGAGCTACTATTCATGATGTTAAACAAAAGTTTCATAAAACATGTAAGTTCTACATATAATTTAGAATATGTATTTTTTTTTCAAAATAGCTCTAATTTATGTATAAAAATAAGTTAAATATTGTGATAGCAAGAGTTATAGAAATCATATTTTCGCAGGGAACTAAGAGTTAATTCTTCTTCACTGTAAATATTTTCACGTTTAACACAAATTTGTGCTTTATTCTTCAGCAATATATTTTTGTTTATTAGTATTATTTTATTTATTTCACCCATTTTACTTTATCATAAATTATTTCTTTTCATCATTTAAATTTATTTTATCCTAAAAGAATAAAAGTCATTAATTGACGTAAAGTATTTATATAAGCAAATATTTTATTCCATTATTTATACTGGTCAAATTTTTTCCACATAGAAATTCTTAATAGAAACATGCATATTTTATTACTTAATTTTATTTTTGTATTTGTTATTCTTTAATTTGTGTATTAGAGGTATTTTTTAAATTAATTTTTAAAAAATAAATGACAGCAGAATGCATTACAACTCTTTTTTTAATTTTTTAAAAATTTTTTATTAGTTGCTCATGACAATACAATGATCTTGACATGTCATACATTTGATTCAAATGGGGTATGAATTCTAATTTTTCTATGTGTACAGGTTGCAGGATCACATTGGTTATATGGATATATATATATATATATATATATACAGCAATACTAGTGTCTATTGTCTTATTACACATATACAGCACAATTTTTCATATCTCTGGTTGTATATAAAATATGTTTACACCAATTCATGTCTTCATGCATGTATTTTGGATAATGATGTCCATCACATTCCACCATCCTTGGCTTAAATCTTACAAAGAATATGATAATTTTTATTTATTTATTCATTATTAGAATAAAATTAATAATATTAATAAGAATTGCCTGGTCCTAACCCTTTGCCCACTCCTTTTTATCCCCCCCACCCTATCTAGAGTTATCTATTCCTCCCATGCTCCCCCTGCCTACCCTGTTATGAATCAGCCTTCTTATATCAGAGAAAATATTCAGCATTTGTTTTTTGGGGATTGGCTAACTCCACTTAGCATTATCTTCTCCAGTGCCATCCATTTACCTGTGAATGCCATTAATAACTATGATTACTTTCTGAACAGGGTTCATTACAATTTACTTAAAATATTTATATTTGGTATATTTTTTGTAGATTTTTGTTTTTATATCTTTTTAATGAAACTTATTGTAATCCTTAAACATTGTAAAAATGTCTGTAATTACTTGGAACCATGTTTTTTACTCACTTTATTTTTTGAGCACTTTTATTTTGTACAGAAAAAAATTAAATGGAAAATACAGACATTTTACAACTACTGATGACCCAACACATGCCTACTTTCTCCTGTTTTAAGTATCCCCCCCAAAAAAAGTGGTGTATTTACTATCATTGATTATAATATCAATCATAATGACAAAAATCACTGGGATTAACTTATGGTGTTTATTTCATATTAGTTTTGCTAGAGAGCACTTAAAAAAATTGGGACTTTCATGAACAATGCTTCTTTTGTAAAAATAATCTTGAAGTTGACAATTAAATGTATTAAGCCATTTAATAATATTGAAGAGAAAAATGACATTTCATTATTTTCTTTTAAGAAAAATATAGAATACGTACAGTACGGAATACTTTCTGTAAATATAGCATCATCTCAGGAATAACGACTACTTCAGAGAAGGTAGAAGATTGTCATTAGCCTTCAAAAAAAAGGCTCATATAACCAATGTAACAAAAAATTGTAAACATTTTGGGGAACAACTGTTTAGAATTTAGAATTGAAACAATATATGGGAAACATATATGGGAAGAAATAGAATTCTTTAAAAAATTCTTACATAATTTTAAATTCTTGAGGAGGCAAGTACTGATAATTTAAAAAAAGAGACAAAAATTAAAAAGAAAGAAAATAGCACAGCATTGTAATGAGATTAAAACTAAATACCAATAGAATAGAAGAAAAATGGACAGAACCACAAAAATACAGTCATCTGATACTTGACAAAGGTGCCAAAATCATATATTGGAGAAAAGATACCCTTGTTATCAAATGATGCTAGGAAAAGAAGATATCTATTTGTTCTAGGAAAATGAAATATGAAAGATATCCCTATCTTTCACCCTCCACAGAAATCTATTCAAAGTGGATCAATGACCTACGAATTATGCCATAAATCTTTATCAGCTACTCCTCCAATGGGGGATTATTTTCCAGAATATATAGATAACTCAAAAATCTTAATGGCAAATGTCGGAACCGCCCTCAGACAGGGGTTGGGGAGAATCGCTAGACCAGCTAGTGTCTCCGGGCGGAGCCAGAGGGTCAGTGTCCACAACCCGGCCAGCCACCCAGCCGAGATTACACAGCAACTTCACTTTAATTGCAGAGGGGGAGGACTTATATAGTGGAAGAAAGAAGAGAAGGGGTGGGCAAAGGCAGGAGCCAATCAGAGATATGTGTGCCCCTGTTGCTGGGGAGTTATTCTTTGTGTTTGCAGAAGCCATATCTTGGGACCTTTCAGGCACGAATGTGTAAATCATTTCCTCATTTCAATTTGCCACATACACTGAAATTCCACAAGATCAGAATCACAAGACTGTTTTTTCATACAGTTGTAGCTCTGTGGTAAACATAGGCCCCAACAGGCAAAAACAATTAACTCCATCAATAAATGGGCAAAAGAACTAAACATTTTTTTTAAAGAAGAATTACCTATGGCCAACAAATAAATATATATATATATATATATATATATATATATATATATATATATATATATATATATTCACTACATGTAGCAATCATGGAAATGCAAATCAAAACTATACTGAGATTTCATCTCACTCAATTACAATGGCAATCATAAGGAACACAAATAATAAGAAATAGTGGAGTAAAGGTACACTGTGACATTGTTGATAGATAGGACTACAAATTAGTACCACGTTGAAAAGCAGTTGTAGAATTCCTTGACAAATGGGGTATGGAACTCTTCTTTTGACCCAGTCATCCCACTCCTTGGTTTTTACCCAAAATAAATAAAATCAGAGTATAGAGTGTTAGAGACACATTAATGTTCATGGGAGCACAATTCACAATAGTGAACTTATGAATTCAGCCCAGGTGCCTATCAACAGAAGAATGGATATATATGGCATATATACAGAATGGAATTTTACTTAGCAATAAAAAAGAATGAAATTATGGCATTTGCTGGTAAATGGATGTAACTGGAGAACATCATGTTAAGTGAAGCAAACCCAAGTCAGAAACTCAAGAGTTAAATGTTTTCTTCCATGTTTGGAAACCATAATAAAATATGGAAGCAAAATGAGACAATAGAAGGGAGATCCATGGAGTAGAAGAAGGGGGTAGGGATGAAGATTGCCAAAAAAGGAGAAACTGAGGAATAACATTAACCAAATTATGCTATGTACATATATGAATTTACCACAGTGAATTTCACTCTTATGTATATTCTAAAGCACCAACTTAAAATCAATCAATAAATATAAGGAAGACCAATAGATTAGATGAAGGGGAATAGAGAAAAAAAGAAGAGAAGGAAAAGAAAAAGTCCTGGAGACTGAAATGGAACAAATTGTATTCTATGCATGAAGGAGCATGTCAAAATAAACCCTACTATTATGCACAACTATAATTAACTAACAAAATATTTTTAAAATAAAATAAAAAGACATTAAAAAAGAAATTGATCTTGGATTGTAGAAATGAGAAGACATTTGAAAATGACTTCTTTTTAAACTGAAAGATCAAAAGATACAACAAAATGATTGCACTGTAAAAATTATGACAAGGTAATAAGTATATTTATTGTCTAAAAATGACATCTAAGTTTAATCTACATTTTATGGTTTAAGTATTAGGTGTCCCCCAAAAGCTCTTGTGAGACAATTTATGAAAGTTTACAGGAGAAATTTATGAAAGTTTACAGGAGAAATTTATGAAAGTTTATTAGATTATGAGAGTTTTAAGCTAATCAGTGCATTTATCCCCTAATAGGAATTAGCTGGATGGTTACTGTAGGCAGGTAGGGTCTGGCTGGAGGAAGAGTAATGGAGCTCTCTTACTCGGCTTTCTCATGGCCATGTCCTGAAATGCTTTTGTTGAGCCAAGAGCAATGGAAACAGCTGTCTGCAGAATAAAACCTCTGAAACTGTGAACCTGGAATAAACTTTTCCTCCTATAAAATTGTTCTTCTTAGCTATTTTGGTCACAGGGTCAAAAAGGGGGACTAAAAACATTATGTGTATAAACAATCACCTTAAAAGAAAACTATGGCTTATTTTATGATGGTATACACACATTACAGTTATGTAAAACCTTAAATACTAGATTGAGAATTTTGGTGTTTATGTGATTGGGGCCCATTTCTATTAATTAGAAAAAAAAATGAAGCCAAGCAACATTTAGAAAATCTTAGAAATATCTGAATGCATAAACTTGCTAATTAAAAATTAGCAATAACATGGTTAGTTGCAATAGCTATAGTAAGACTTAAGGATTGGTTGACCATGAACATTTTCTTTTGCAGGCATAGTTTGAGAGGTTAAGATGCTTATTTAAACTCTGACCTTTACACTTTTTAAAAAATTCTCTTAACTTTGACAGTTATACAAATTTATTTAAAGGCTATAAATACTCAGGCATGGTGGTAGAGATCTGTAATTCCAGCTACTGAGAGGCTGAGGCAGGAGGGCCCCAAGTCCCAAAATTAGCATATGCAAATTAAGGAGATCCTATCTTAAAAATTAAAAAATGTTGAATATTTGGCTTAGTGGTAGAACATTACTGGGTTCAATCCCCCTATACCACAAAAAATAAATCATAAAATAAACTAGAAAAAGAGAAATAATTTTCAGCATTTTTTGCATTTAGTATACTATCTTTCAAAATCTTACTGTTCTTTAGTTGTCATAAATGATAGAAACACAAAAGCATATTTTGCT